GGATGAATCTTTCGCTCGGAATGGGGTAGATTCATCCCACTTTCAGCCTCCCTCCCTACGCGCAACCATTTTCTCTACTAACCTCTAATCTACTTACTCTTTCCCAAAACTAACTTCACGGTTGGACTCGCCTTGCCCCGAAACCTCCGTTTCAGATCTCCCCCCGCCTGTTTTCGTTGAGAAACAGGCGAAATACAACTCCTTACTCACGCTCTTCTTCTTCTTTGACACTCTTCGCGCACCAACTTTCTTACTGACCCCCTCTATTACTAATCTAACACTGAAACTAACAGCAGATATGACATCGCCCGCCCTCAAAACCCCCAAGTTAGCTCTTCCCTCCCTCGATTTGGTCAAGGATCGAGGGAGATATCCTTTTTCCTTTCTCCTCCCGCTTGCTCCGCCATAGCTCCTCACACCCATGCTTTCTCAGTAATCTCCTAGACTACTAACCTATTGGTAAATCTAACACTTCTATCTGATTCGCCCGGGGTCAAAACCTCGGGAATGCCTCTTTTCTCTATCGATTCTGTCAACGAAAGAGAGAGCCATGATGTTTAGACCGCGCCCACTCAGCATTTTGCCATCTCCTCTGTTGCATGTACCTATCGGGGAACTGCTCCAGGTTTGTTTCTTCCCCTCTTTTACTTTTGCTGCCCGTTGCCACCATACTCTTGCGCTAGCTGCTGCCACAACGCTCGGTCCCACAGCAGCCCGACATGCTGCCTCGTTCCTCAACCTCAGCGCCCGTCACTTTCTCCACTTGGCTCCTCGTTGTTGCCTACTTCAACCTCTCGTATGTACCTGGCACCAACCCCCCATCGCAGTTCATTCCCTCTGCCACCACTGTTTCTTCCCCACTGTCTACCTTCATCCCGTCGCCCGGACGCTTTGCTCTCACAGCGCGTGTCACCCCGCTGCGCTATCTACTTCCCTTGTTCGCTAGCACCCAACGCCCCCTGGCGCAGCACTCCGCTTCCTGCCCACGATACCCGCCGCTCAGCAGCACTCCGTTCCACTACGGGTCTTCGCAGCTCCGCTGCGCTACCCTTTTTACCCCGCTGCGCTTCATGGCCCGGCTCTGCGCGATGCTGCTGCTATCCCCCATTGGCCGCTACTCAGTAGGCTATCGCCACGGCCTCCCCTACACTGCCCAGAGCCCATTGCCCCCTCGGGCTCCCAACGATCAGACCCCCAGGCCTCCGACAAGGCCCACCGCTTGAGCCATTGCGAGGTCGTTCCCTACGCAGATCTTGATGGTAGTAGCAAATATTCAAATAAGAATTTTGAAGACCAAAGCGGGTGGGGTTCCAAGTCACCTGCTATCAGGACAGCTTGCCGCACTGCCAACGCTGCGGCGGCCTCCTACCGCCCCCCCGTCCTTCAGGCCTCAACGACGCATGCTCACACTTAAACCTCTCACAACAAACTGTGGGCGGCGGGCGGTACGCCTGCAGAGCGCCCCCACCAGCCATGTCTCTTCCGCCCCATGGGCTAATCACTCACCGGTTTATACATACGTTAAACCCCCTTGGTCCGTTTATCTCAAGACCGGCGGGGTAGAGAAAATCCGTCGGCATTCCGAACTCGGGTCCGTTTCCCAGCAGTTCAACGCGAACCAACTGAAGCGGACCCATCGATTTCACCGCTGGTCTCGAAACCGATCAGTAAACTTAGAAAAAATAAAAAAAATAAAAATGAAACAAAATAGGAGATTAAAATGAAGTCAGGGGCATCGCATCGCCAACCCCTTGTCACCGCACACCCCTAGGCCTCCAAGAGTCGTACCTTACCTTCAACACCCCACGCCCACCAAGCTCCCGCACCTACCACGTGGGGGTCTGACACACGTTCTATCCTCTCGCATACTCTGTTTACCGCACGGAAGTCACGCCGTTGTCGAAGCCGTCTTCCGTATGAGCGTGCGTGCATCCTGATCAGGTATATCAATAAAAAAGCAACGGTGTTTGTAATCCTAGTTTAATCAAATATAAATAAATAATAATAGTTCGCGAGGCGGCCGGCGCCTGTGCCGGCTTTACAATTATCAACAGGGGAAAGAAATCACGCGCGCCCACACACTCTTAACTTCTAGTCAACCATCCAGTCAGTGCAATCACAGACACAGCCGCGCCTGGCGCAGTATACTTAAACCAAAACCATTTTCTGTCGCATGCAAAAACCAGGGCGGATACCCTTCTAAGGGTATTCACGCCGACAACTTACCGGACCATATTAAGCGACGTCCCAGTCGCTTCGCCAAATTAGAGAGTTATAAATCTATTCGCCGTCCAAATGCTGACGAGAAAGGAGCCAATCCGATTAGCCGACAAACACAGGGTAGAGGCCTCCATCAAACCATGCCTCCACAACTATATGCTGCCAGGTTTCTAACCTGGGCCTCTCACGGTCCATACATTAGGACACTGAGAGCATAAGTTCCAAAGACCTTCCCAATCGTCCTCTCCCCGGTCCTAGACAACCTTCGGCTTCTTGTTGGGTGTCCCTAGTCCTGGCCAAAATTAGGGACGCGGGCCTTAATCGAGACCTTTGAAAGCAGTCCAGCCTTCCTTCTCAGAAAATCTCTCGCAATCAAATACACATATGTATATACGTATACTTAATATTTGCTTAGCTCTTTCTGCAGTCTAGTACAGAAAGGCTAGGTCTCCATCTTGGCCCACCATAGCCTGGCTGATCGGGTCAGGACTACGGCCCACCGCATTGTTATTTAACGGCAGTACCCCTTGTTGGTTACGCAACGATAGGTTTTCTCTTGATAAACATTCAATCAGGATTCTCCCAAAATTCTCAACCTCCATTATTCCACGGAGTAATTTCCCTGGGGCGGGCAACTCCCTTTAAACTCTTACCCCGCGGTTCCGCAACCAGGTTGCGCCGGCTAGCAGCATCCAATGGGGTTACGCCCTAGAGGTACTAAGTTCTTACCGTTAGCTTGGTCTTTCTTAATATGTCCCAGAACTAGCACAAGTGGTTTAGACGGAGTGTCGCAAAACAAAATCACTGGCCAACTGCGCGATTACGTAGGAGTCTGAAGGCATTTACCAGCCCTTCCACGATAGGCATGGTATCCTTCGCACGATCATAAACAAAATCACCGCTAGGTCCATCAGGCCGTGACCCCTGACTTGATCAGAGCCAGCAGCCACCCGTTGTGAGACATCATCTCGCCCTGCGGTCATTGCGACCTTCTCAAACATTCCAAACAAAAGTGACCCTTTTCGTCAGACTTTATCACTCATCAGATAGCTTACCATGCCATAAATCAGTTTACTCACCTTTGAAGGTGAGTCTTCCAACAACAAAAACATCCCCTTTCCCAAAAATCCAAGGGGCTCTCATCATAAAACAAAACACCCTCTCTTCCAAAAATCACGAGAGGTCTCATCATAAAACCAAACTTCCCCTCCTCAAAAATTCGAGGGGATATCATCATAATACACAACATCCCCTGCTCAAAAAATCACGAGGGGTCTCATTATAACACACAACGTCACAAAACATCCCCCTCTCCAAAATCCAGGGGGGACTCATTATAAAACAAGCATCAGTAAGAAATCATCTTATGGGTCCTCATCACAACTTAAGCAATCAATAATCATCATGGTAAGCGTTTTGAGCCTCCTGGGCTCATAATTCTTCAAAAATCCTTACAATTTTTCACAAACAGGCTGCGCTTCCTCCCCTTATACTCTGCCCTATCAGCTGCCCGGGGGCAGATCGCACGAGTATACCGAGGAGTAGGCAACTTTTGCTTACAGTCATATTCACACTACCCATGGCAAAATAAGATGTTTTTCACACATCGTCCAACGAACCCACCATACATCAGAGCACAACCACATATGTGAGAGAGATAAGTGATCGTCACGTATAAGAATGGTCCCTGGAAAAAAAAACTCATCATAATATACACTCAGGAAAATAAAATGTCTCACACAGAAAATGTCTCCAAATCATAACTCACTCAACTCAAGCCGCACCAAACTCACGCAGACAATTATCCCTAAAATACATGTCAGATCTGTCTCTCAAAGCGAGTGTGTAGGCCACCTAAATATGTACATACCTCATCTAGATCACTCTGATCCTCAAGACCCTAGCTCAGTAGGAACACTGAAGTTCAGATCTAGACTAGTAGCAATCATCAAAAGGATCTCTATGTCTAAGAGGGTATCACACAGAGCCTAAGCTGATGCCTCACAAGATACTCGACCACTTACATAGACAAACCGACCCTACCTCCTCAACTCCTCCTGGTTTTGCCTATATAACTGAGCCCTAAGTCTATCTGCGGACTTCTCTACTATCATACCCTGTCTATCATACATCTTACCCCCTACTTCAGAGACCTTCCCTTCTACCTTATCCTCAAGGAACTCGAGACAGTCCAGAGCCAGATGCATGCCCCTCTTGCAGTAAAAGCATAGTTGATCAACCTTCCTCTTGAAATTCTTCTTCTTGGGCTGAGGAGATGGCGATGAAGGAGATCCTACCAAGGTACTGACATCCCCTTGCTGCTCTGATCGAGGAGTTGCGGTACTAACGACCTCCTGCTGCTCTATCCCAGGAACCGATCCCCCAGACCCAAATCCTGTAGCCCAAGATCCCAGTCTGCTCCTCAAATTCCCTGTCGCTGGGACGCACTCAGGCACGTCCAACCTCTGAGGTCTCCTCTCGAGCATCTCTCCTGGCACCACCACGGGCTGCTGCTCAATCTCCTCTGGCTCATACTCAGGCGTGCCCAACCTCTGGAGCCTGCCCTCGATGACACCCTCCGCCTCAATCCCCATCTCTCTCTCAAGAGGCTTCTCTATCCTCTGCTCGGGTGAAAACAAACTCGCCTCTTCCTGCATAGTGTGCACCGCCTCAAGGAGCACGCCCATGGATCCCTTTGCTGAGCCTTGAGCCGACTCACTGCTAGATGGTGGCAGCCCCTCCTCTACTGCCAAAGGTATGACTGGGCTCGTCGCCGCCACTGGTAGCGTCGCAAGTTCGGTAGGGGCTCTGAACTCTAACGCCTCTGTCTCCGCCTGTCTCTGGGCTCTCGCCTCCTCTGGCTCGAAGATAACTCTCCCCATAGGTGGCTCCTGGTGAGGCCCTGCCGCAGATGGCTGCCCTGGCAATCCCTGTCCTGGATGCCTCTGCTCTCCCTGCCGGCTACTCTCTGGCTTGTCCACCTTTCCCTGAGTTTGCTGCCTCAGGCTCTCGATGATGGCTGCCTGGCTGGCCACCAATGCCCCGAGTTCCTGGATTTCCACCTCCATAGCCTCCAGGCGTACTCCATGACCTTCTTCCTTTGTCTTCTTTCCCGCCAGATCGCTCTCAAATAACAAGTGCCGGTCAAAAGTTGTCTTGGCCAGGAACTTGATTTCTCGGTCCAATCTTTCTTCCGCCTTTCTTGCTACCCCAAACCCAACTCTGACTGGCGAAGGAAGCTCCTCTCCTCTCTGCTCCCAGAAGCCCCTCCACATCTCAGGGATCTCCGGGGCCCTAGCTGGCTCGTTGGGTGGCTGACCCGGGAGTGCTCCTGCTGCCTCCGATCTCTGCCTCTCCTGCTGCTGCTCCGGAAGTGTCCCCGCCACCTCCAACCTCTGCCTCTCTTGCCATACCTCTTCTATCCTCCTGGTTCTTCTCGCCTTCTTTTCCTCTGCTGTCTCTCCAGCTGGCGCCCTTTCCCTCGTGCGGAGGTCGACCCTCTTCGGGATTTCTGCCTCCACCTCCTTCTCGGGCTGGCATGGTTCCTGGCGCGGCTCTGCAGGTGCTAGCTCCTCCAGGTCTGGGTGCTCCAGGGCATGAGCTGCTAGGTGCCTGTCAATCAAGGTCAAGGCTTCTCTCCTTACAGCTTCCCTCTCCCTCCTCCTTTCTGCTCTCCCCTCTGGCGAAGGAGTCTTTTCTGATGAAGGTAATGGGGCCTCCTCTCTCTGCAATCTCTCCCCCGTCTGCCGAGTGCTCTTTGTTGCAACCCCGAGTCTCAAACCCACCGCTGGCGTCTGTGGGGGCGTGTCCTCTCCAACCTCTATTACTTCCTTCCCTGCACGTCTTCCCTCATCGCCCAGCCCTCTCTCTCTCTGAGTATCCTGGACCTCCTTCCGCGGCACCTCCTCTCGTGGCACCACCTCTCGTGGTACCTCCTCCTGTGGCACCTCCTCTCGTGGCACCTCCTCTCGTGGTACCTCCTCCTGTGGCACCTCCTCTCGTGGCACCTCCTCTCGTGGTACCTCCTCCTGTGGCACCTCCTCTTGTGGCACCTCCTCTGCCTGCTCTCCATGCTCCTCACCCCGAGGCGACGCCCTCCACCGAGAGATATCCAAATGCGTCTCCAACTCCCTCAAGGGCCCCTCAGATGTTGGCGGCTCCTCCTATGTGCATGTTGGCGACCTCCTCAATCCACCCTCGGTAAACCGATGGAACTCCACTGGTACCAACCCACACTCAGGGTATGCCCCTCGCTCCTCAGCCTCTGACTCCGACTCCGGTTCCTCTTCTCTCCTAGCTAGGGCCCTCCGTCCTCCTCGAGATGGTCTCCCCTCCAGGGTCCCTCCGCCTCTCACTCCTGTGACGCCTCTCAATTCTGGGCTGAGGGGGCTCTGGCCGTCGAAAGGCCTCTCTCAGATATGCCCTGCCGTCGAAAGGCCTCTCTCAGATATGCCCTGCAGCTCTCCCAGTCCCGGGCCATGCCTCTGACCTGCCTAGCCAGTGGTCTTTCCGCCTTCCTGGTCCAGAGTGGTAATGTCTGCATCCAATCGTCTCTCGGTATACCTTGCCCCTGCATGAACCACTCAAACGCGGGGATGAAGTCCGACGCATTTCCAATCTCCAGGCGGATCGGCCTGCCATCAGGTCCCACAGGCGAGGGTCGCAGCTCCTGCATCCTCAACTCCGCCTCTAACCTCGTCGTCGCCTCTCTACGGATCCGTGCGACGGGCTCCTCGAATCTGCCAACTCCCCTCAGCCTCTCAATCCCCTGGGTCACAGTCCAACCCATACGCCGCGCATGCTCCCAGAAGCTGTCTAGGAATAGCTCGATGTTGCCACCGTCGTACTCCGGAGTGCTCTCTCGATGGCGAGGCCCATGCCGCTCATATCCTCCTGATGCGCCAAACGGCCTCTACGGCGGCCGTGTCCCCTTCCCTCCTCTTGGCATGGCTGTTTTCGTAAAATCTGACCTGCACAACAGGCGAAGGAGACAGCAGGCACACATTGGGGTAAGCAAACAAGTGATAATCAAAGCAAGCTCAGACCAGACCATACTCATGCAGCATGCATCCTACCTAACCTACACACCCTATTACTTCTATTCTAAGGGCAGTCAGGTCATCTCTCTTACCTCTTCTCTCGCCACAAATTTCTTCAGTCGCGTTCCAGATACCCAATCCTTCCACTCAGTCCCATTTAGCTCTTCAATCTGGTATGCTCCGAAGTCTCCAACCCGTACAATCCGGTAGGGACCTAACCACCTCTTATCGAGTTTCCTGGACCACTGCTTCTCCAAAAATGAATCACAGAGGAGCACGACGTCCCCAACTTCCAAAGGTATTTTCCTCACCCGTGCAGTCTGATCTCATCGAGTCTTATCATCCATATGGCTTCTCGCCACCTGCTCGGACGCCTCCTGGATCCTTTCTTCTATCGCCCCTATCTGCCGCGCCCGAATATCGAGCAATTCTTCGAACGACAGCCTAACTTCCAGATCCTGGCGCCTCCATGTCTTAAGGAAGCTCTCAATAGGGAAGGGGGCGTGCCTTCCATACCACAGTGTAGCCGGCGCATACTTGGTGGATCTTTTTACTATAATGTTCTCGACAAAGAACGCCGCCCTTAGGTACCTTGACCATTTATTAGGCCTGCCTTCGGTCCACTTAGCCAGGAGACTCGTAATGGTACTATGTCCTCTTTCCACAGGAGCATTTGCCTGGGGGTGTGCGGCCGTGGTGTAGTTGGCTGCCACACCATACCTTGATAACAGTTCTTGCACCTCCTGGCAGGTAAACTCTGATCCCCTGTCCATTATGAATTCCTTGACGAAAGGATGGCGTAGGTAATACTCTTCGATGCAGCTCACCAGGACTGACCCCGTCTTTGTGCGAATAACACGCCCGTCTACAAAGTTAGATAGGTTATCGCGCGCATCGAAGATATAGTTATAGCCTTGATCCCCAAGCGACATAAAAAGTAGATCGAGATGCACTACAGCCCCCACCTCTCGCTCTAGCCTTGGATGCAGTGACTCTCCTTGCCTTAAACGGGATCTCTCCTGACAAGGTACGCAAGATCGACACAACTTTCCGACCATGTCCATCATCCCATCCCAGTAATACAACTCACTTATCTTGGCATACCTGGCTTGTACCCCTCGATGCCCTCCCGCAATGCCATCGTGAAGCGCTGCTACGACGTCGATCAGACGATTCCTACCGCAGGCGACTCTCCTGGGACTCCCCACTTCTCTTCTCACGAAAAGGTGGCCGTCTCGCACTAAGTAGCGCTGCAGCATCCTCAGAGCCCTATCGCTTGCATCCCTTAGCCGCATTTCGCAGGACAAAATAATTCCCAGCTCTAGGTAGATCCCATCATACTCCTCTGCACGAAAGACCTCCTTAATCTCCCCCTCCTCGAATTCGTCGTCCTGGCTCTCGGGCATTTCGTCCATATTCCCTGCCGAGTTCAACGAGCCTGACTGGCCAAGGCTTTCTTGCAATAACGTGTTGACGAGGAGATACATTCCTCCCATCAGGTCCTCATGCCGTTCTACCTGGCCAGGTCCTTCCTCAATCGTCCTCACGTCCTCCACCAACCTATGCGAGCTGACCAACGCTAACTCCGTCATCCACTGAACACCCTTACCACCCCAGGGATCCTCTTCTTCAAAGGGTTTGAGGACTAGCTCGGCCCTCCTTTCATACCCATTCGGCGCTTGCCAAATAAGATAGCCTACACAGCTGGGTACTTACGGCGACCACTTGTTGATATGAAGACGGACATCTTCTTCCTGGTCGAGAAATCCATCAACTGGGGGTGTATTCTCCACCGCCTCCCCTTCGTGTTTATCCCAGTTGATCCAACTTAGCCCGTCCGCCCGGTTCTTACTGCCAGGAATCTGTTCCATTTCGAAATTAAACATCCAGATGTAAGTCAGTCATCTGGCGACCGTCGGATTTGACGGAACGTAATTCCTTAGAGAGTAGGCCAGTGCGGTCGGATCCACTCTCAGAATGAACCTCCTGCCGAAGATGGAGTTCCGGAAGATTCGCAGACAGTGGAGGATGGCAAGGGTCTCCCTCTTGAACTGAGAATAGTTTCTCTCGGTCGTACAGAGAGTCCGACACTCAAATCTCAAGGGCCTTTCCTTTCCCTCTATGTCTGCCTGGATTAGAACTCCTCCTAAGGCAGTTGGCCCCGCATCCATTTCGACAATGAAGGGTCGTGTCTCTGTGGCATCATAATCTGGTGCTCCTAAGACCAACGCTCCTTCTCGAAATTCCTCATTCATTCTGGCCACCACCTCTTCTTGCTCTTTACCCCAAACCCATTCCTGATCCTGACGGACTAACTTCCTCAGGTGTCCAGTCTTAGCGGCAAAGTTCTTGACGAAGGCCCTCCAAAATCCACACGTACCAAGGAAGCTCCTGACATCAGTTATTGAGTGGAACGGAACCGGTCACTCAGTAATCTTATCCATCTTCTTCACATCCGGCCTTCGGCCCTTCTCGCTGCAGACGAACCCCAAAATAGTCGCTTCCCTCATGCAGTGTCTGGATTTGGCCCCGCTCGCCGTGAGGTTATGCTCCTCGAGTATGCTAAAGACCTTTTCAAGGTCCTGGATGTGCTTCCAAACAAAGCGCCTTACCCCTGGCGAGACTTCGTCGCTCTCCTTCACTGCCAGCCCCTTCACCGCCAAATCATCGATGTATGGCTGTGTGATATGGGGGCTGACCAACTGCATAACCCGAATCATGGCCCGTTGGACCATTGCTACCGCGTTGGTCCACCCTTGAGGGGCCACGTTCATGTGGATAAGTCCTCGTGGCGTGTGCATAGCCGTCACCGGCCTGTCCGGCGGGTAGACCGGAAACTGATCATATCCTGAGTAAAGGTTTATAAGTGAAATTATAGGTCTTCCCGCACAGGATTCCGACAACGCGTCTGCATTGGGCAACCCTCCAGCGTCCCGCACGGTCACCGCACTCAGCCTCTACAAATCTTGCACCCACCGCAGCGTCCCGTTAGGCTTGATGAAGCAGAACCTCAGGGATGCATACGGTCCACTCAAATAGTCGGCGACGTGCGTACGTATCTTGCCGTCGAGGTAATCCACCACCTTTTTCTCCTCGTCAGGATTAGGATACCGCGCCCCTCTCATGTTCCAAGGCTCGTGTGTCACGGTGTTGATGCGGATCATAGGTATCTTGTCCACATCCAACCTGCCACGTTCCTCGTCACTAAACGTATAGGTGCGGTGCCTCCTCTTCATCAATTCCTCCATCAATGTCCGCTCCTAAGGCAGCAAGAAGTCGGGTTCCCCTATAATCGACTCCCCCTCGTTCCCTTTGTTGATACGACATGGCCGTGCTAGAGCACTCTCCCTCATTCACCATATCAACCCTCGATCCCTCTCGTAATATGCTTCCTCATCTTCTGTAACGAGGACGGGAACCGGGCGGCACTTCTTGTCTACGGTCTTGTACCGCCTTTGGGAACCCTGCTTGAGCCGTCCCCTAAAAAAGACCGACTCACAGATTGCGCCTGCGATGATGCAGGGCTCCTCCCACCGCAAGGAAGGCAATATACCAGCTTCAATCTTCCTTCCTCGGGGCATTCCAGAACTTTCTCCCTCAAGGCCTGGATGGCATCCGGGTCTGCCATTTCATGTGCGGCCACCAAGTCCATGGCCTTCCCGATGTCTGACAGGCTGAGGGAAAATGCCTCCACCCTCTCTCCCACTTCTGGCTCTGCCCGGAGCCTCCAGCGTTCACCTTCTGATTCTTCGATTGTGAACGATCCTAGATTGGGCCGGTTCCTTCTGCTTTTCGACCCTGTGTTTCTGCAGGTAATTATTTCATAATTCCCGCAGGCAGGGTCACATAGGAGAAGGATTAGAGTCTCGTCATGCTTGTAAAACATCACAGTCTCTGTCCTACTCAGGAACGATCTCCCGAGGAGGATTCCATGATCCATGCCCGGCATTATGAAGAAGCATGCCTTGACCTTCACCTTTCCAACCTCGATGAGCACATTCGAGGCTGTCCCGCAAAACACGGCCTTACAGCTGGCTCCATGCAGAATACTGCAGTCTGAACGGTTTATATCCAGCCTGAATTTCATTGCGTCCGCCTTCCGAATGATGTTCATTTCGGCCCCAGTATCCACCATTGCCGCACACTTTGAACCCTTTACCACCAGATCCACCGTGCCGCAGGCCACACACTTCCAATCCATCTTCGTGCCTAATTTTGCCCACTCTGCCTCCTTGGGCAGGATCGTGCCCAGATGGACATTAGGCACCAGGCGCCGTGACAACCTCCCTTTCAATTCATCGCGGAGCCGCGGGGCTGACGCCAGGATCTCCTTCAGGGTCATGAGATCATTATGCCCTTCTAGCAGCCTGTCGATCACCCGCTCTACATCAAACCCCTCTTCCAACCAAACCGTGTACTTTTTCTTTTTGGGCGGTCCGTCACGCATGACCGGCTCGGCCTCTTTCCTGGTCTCTTTTCTCCTTGCCCGCTGCTCCGCTCTCTGATCCTCTTCCCGGCGCAGCCTCTCGTCTTCTTTCTCTTCATCGTCGCCATCCTCTACTTCCACGGCCTCCTTTCTTTTTCCTGGCTGCTGCTCCCTCCTTAGAGGTTCTTGGCTGGCGCTGGCTTTGACTTGACTTCTCGTTCGTGCGGCCTACGCCAGTCGGGCCTGCGGAGTGAGGGGTCTCCCCATCATTCCCGATTGCCGGCACGACCCCACAACATTTACTCCAGGTCGCCTAGGCGCTGATTCCGGACCGGAGTCGTAGAGGAACACCTTGGGGATGCTAGACTTCCATTTCCTCACTTCCTCACAGATGCCTACCAACTTCTATTCGTACCTCCCCATTTTATCCAGCAGGTCCTCAATTTTCCCCAACAAAATGGACGGAGGTTCCATCCTTTCTTCCTCATTTTCGTCATCTGACTCGATGATTATGGACTCTTCCTTCTTACTTACTCCTCGTAGCCCTTGAGTCACTTCCTCATCGCTCCCCACTTCCTCTACCCCAATCGGTGGTTCTTCCTTTTCTTACCATAACCTGAATTCCTCTATCCCCACTGACGGTCCTTTCTTCTCCTGCCATAGCCTGAACATGGCAGGGGGTGGCGGCCCAGCTGCCGCCCTTCGTTGGGCTTCCGCCAAGCCTTCTGTCAATGGCCTCCCCAAACTGATCGTAAATGTTCCCATCCATGGTGGAGGAAATCAGCCCGCTCCTCTCGTCTTCCCGCCTTATATTACAGAACCTTATAGTGTGGCCTTGCTGGTCACAATGTTGGCAGATGGCCGTCCTCCAGTCAAAACGGGGTCTTCCATACCCCTGACTTCCCTGATCCCCCTGGCCTTGGTACCCCTGGCCTTGGTACCCCTGGCCTTGATTCCCTTGACCTTGATTCCCCTGGCCTTGACCATTCCATTGCCCTCCTCTTCCGCCGCCATTCCTGCCTCGCCCCCTTCCTCCACCCCTCCCTCCGTTGCCTTGATTGCCCTGCCCCTCGTTCCCACCTCCAACCACACTTGACTGTGAACTGGGAGCGGGTGATGGTGGCGGGGCCACACGCTGGGCCTGGGATGCGGGGTAGATGGGTGGCGGCATACTCGTTTGCGGTCCGGTTACTGGTGGCGGGCTACCCCATGGTACGATTGCATTGATCATCGGCCAGGGCCACTGTCCGTAGGAGGGCGCCCCTCCTTGCGAGGGGCCCGTACTAGATGATGGGGCCGCCACATTTAAAGGGGTTGCTATCAAGGCCTGGGGCGCCTGCGCTTTTCCTGATCCTTGCCCGCCCTGCGCCAAGTTACGCACTTTGCGCTGGGCCTTCGTCAGGTGCTGCGACACCAGCTCTTCCTCTTCCCAGAGCTTCTCCTTAACAACCTCCTCTATCAGCAGCTCCTGTCCTTTCACTTGGATAGCCGTCACTACCCTCCTCTGTACCACCGGCTCTGTCGCATACCCCAGTTGCGCCAATACGTCTGTAACAATCCTTTTTACCCCCGGGATCCCAGAGGCGGTCGCATCCCTTTCCTTTCTCTTCAGCCTTTGCAGGCGTACCTGACGTTGCTCCACCTGGTCCAAACACCCCCAACTTCCACCCCTCTGTCAATGGTGGCCCAGGTGAGCTTGGTGCTACCCCCTCCATGTCTCGTCAACTCGACGGCCCCCGATGCCGTGAGTAGCCTTAGGAAGATGGCGCACTGTGCTTCCTCCAAAATCCCATGGACCTTCCGCGCCCTGTTCTTAAATTCTTGAACAAAGACCCTTATCGTCGTAAAATCTTCTTTGTTCATCGCCTCAAGGTCCGCGGTAGTCAACAACCCGTCTCCCAGGCGGTACTTCCACTGCATCCCCTCCTTGAACCTCTCCCAGGTGGTAGCTGTGGAGGACATAGTGAAGGATGCGTTGGAACTTTACAACGTCCGACCGCCCGACCAAAGCTTATTCCACCCGCTCTAGCCTTTCTGAAACCCTCTCCCCACAAAAATGGAAGGTATCGACTTTAGGGATATTGCTCGGGTGCCTTTCATGTCGGTCAATGGCCGCAATGAGGTCATCGAGCATCAGGCCCTTCTTGGGACCACCCGATGCACCGCCGCCCTGCCACATCTTGACAAACTTCTCTCTTCAAGCTTCCTGATAAGAAAGAAAAAACCAGCATACCTCTTTTATTCAGCATCGCACCTTGACCGGTCTATTCCATCCGTCCTACCTAACTCTTACTACGTACCTTTACCCAATGCTACACGTTCGTCCTTCATACCTTCCCTTACTCAGGTAGGTAAATTTCCTCACCTATACTTAGTCTTCATTATTTTTTCCTCACTTTCTCGTCCTTCCTTTATGCCTTTTCTCACTCACTTCTCATACCCAGATGTCGTTCCACCAGGGACAACGGTAGGCTTTCCGTTATCCACAGCAACGGCGCAACCTGTCGGGCGCATCGGTCCGGCACCGCACGCGGCAGCGCGGGACCCTCTCGGCCGCGTCACGCAGGAGTTGGACCACCCTCGTCCCGAACACACAAATGGAGTTTCCTAAGGCCGCTCCGGCCGAGTGCGCCTACCATACCTAACGCGAGCCCTTACGACAGGATAGGGCCTACGCGAGGCACAAGTTACCTACACCTTACAGAAGTTGTCACCTCCCTTCGGTGGGCGTATCCCCGCCGAGCTACCAGTCCACAGTACGAAAGCTAAACAGTTACAATCGCAGAGGTGGACCAGCCGAGGGGGTTTCTCGTTCGCCGTAGCATAGGGGGTACGCGCGGTAATACGCCTCTATCGGACCCGCAAGCGAACCTACGTCTTGGGAGGGCTAAAGTCCCAAGCGTGGCTCGACGTCGGTCGACTAGGACGCATCCCATACACCACGCGCACACCACTTTATGAACACAAAAATAAAATGCGCTCACACACACATACAAAACAAAACAACAGAAACAACGCGACAACGCTCCTAGCCCCTCGGTACCCGTCCCATAACTCTCTGATGCGAAAATCGAGTAGGCGTTGTGCGCGAGACTTTGTACAAAACCGCGCAGACGCAAGGATGACTTATATCGGTTCGCAATGCAATTGTACGCAAACGGTTGCAATGATGGCGTACCAAGTAGTACCTATTCTTATGCGGTCCTTGTTAATCTCGAGGGTCGCATTCGACACTCAAGTGTCGGCTGACACGCGCCTTGAGGGTTAATCTCTCGACGCTGGACGACCGCTATGCTCGGTTGAAGACCGCACACCCTCTTCTGCACCCTTATGCAGAGTGGGTGGTAAGGTCCTTACCTGTGGTGGTGGTCGTCTCTCACGGCCCTAGGGGTAAGTCCTCCCTGGGCCTTAGCGAAGGTCAAGGGGTTTGACTTTGACGGCTGCCACGGACTACAACGTCCAACCATACAACTCTAAAAAGCAAGGGCAGGGGGAGATCCCCGTTTTATCTCAAGGCATAATCTGACTAATCCTTATGCACAATCACAGTAGGCCTCGCAAAATATTCAGGGCACTCATAAGTATATGAGGTTTAATTATATAGAATGATCACTTCTCAGAGTCACAGCGAGGCTCCTCTCAACCACATATGTATGTAATCGCAGGCAATCACATTCAGAGTTCGAACCACAAACGCACCTGCAATCACATCAAAGATTCATCCAGAAGTCCACACACTACACGAAGTCAACTTCAATCATTCTCTGTACTCATACCCCTTGCTTTAGCCATGCAAGCCTCAACCTCAGCGCAACCTCCCCGCAATAAAAATACTCAGTATCTTCGTTAAATGACCATTCAATATAGTCCGGGTAAAAACACAACAAAACAAATAAACCAGAGGGCTAAAGCCTTTCGGTTGAGTGGCAGGGGTGAATTGAAGTGGAGTCGCAAACTGACGAATCGGCAACCGACCTGTTATCAATGATAACAGAAGATGATCCTCAAGGAATCAAGCTGGATCTAGTCCTGAACTTGGATCAAATGATCAAAAAAACCTGCAACACACGGTAGACCAATCCCCGAGCTAAGATCATAAGTGTATGGAGAATACAACTCCATAATACATCCTCACTTAAAATCTCTTTATAAGCTAAACCTAAGTCTACCTATAAGCCAGTGCTTAAGCCAAAGGTAGACCAACTGCAGAATTTCCCCTATTCAGGGTGGATCGCCTGAATCGCCAACTGTCAAAATATAATCTATCTCCTCTAAACTAGGAAAATTTCGGCACCGCTTCCCGTAGGAGAAGTGCCTCTCTAGAATTTATATAAATTCATATATGAAAGCAGAAGTAATATCCAACTCAGGGAAGTGAAACTATGTTTAACTTCATGAAATAGCATAAATTTGGGCAGCATTTCCTTTAGAAAGGAAGACTTTCCAGATTTATACTAAGTCAGATATGAAGGCAGATATAATCTCTAACTCTCGAAAGTCAAATTTTGTCTATTTCTCTGAATCAGTTGAAATTTGGGGAGCACTCCCTTTAGAAAGGGAGACTTTCCAGATTTATACTAAGTCAGATATGAACTCGAACAACAGCTCGAGCTCAACTTTGGACAAAATTTAACCAACTCCTTAATTTCGTAGAAATTTCGGCATCACTCCCTCTAGAAAAGTGTTATTCTAGAATTTATACAAGGCTAAGTTCAGAACTTGAGAATAACTTTGACTTTTTTAAAGTCCAATTTTGTTTAACTCTCTGAATTAGTAAAAATTTAGGCAGCACTTCCTTTAGAAAATGAGACTTTCCAGATTCCTACCAAGCCAGATATATGGAAAAAACAAGTTGAACTCTGACAAGTGAAAAGTTGACTAACTCCTTGGATTTGTAGAAATTTCGGCAGCGCTTCCCGTAGGAAAAGTACCTTGTCAAGATTTACACAAGACCAAGTATAAGAAAAAATATTTGAAAATGCAGGAATTGACACTAACTCCTATGGCTCTAGCACGTGGCGAGCAACTAAAGCAACTACTTATAATACGGAAACCCAAACAAACTTGTCATCCCATCCGGTCACATGCAAACCAAACCACGAATGTAAGTACTGTGACCATCCCAAGTTCATTCCATATAGATAGTTCATGAATCTTCAAGTCGTGGAATCCTTATACCCATCTTGTATAAGACGTAGAGCTGGACGATTCGCCATGGAAACAATGCCCAACTTTTCTTTATAATATACACGAACAGGTTGCACAACCACTTCTCTCTTCTTTTGGGTAGATGACTAGGCCATTCGTCATGGAAACAATGCCTAGTCGCCCTGAGCTGTTTAGTATCCAAAAATTTAGTATTTCTCTGACTGTGTTTTCAAAAGAAAAGGCAAATATGGGCAAGGAACTGAACCATTCACAGTAGAAACACTGTTCAGCTTGCCCAAACTATTTTCATTTATACTTTGTATTTTTCCTTTTCTCTTCTTAATGATATGGCTTAACGCTGGACCATTCACAGTAGAAACAATGCCTAACTGCCACTTCACAAGCAAATATACATAAAGTATTTTCCTTTATACTCAATTTAATTTATATGCGTGGTTTTCAGGCTAAACCATTCACCATGGAAACAATGCTTAGCCTTAGACAAAAAATCCTCCCTCAGAATAAACAAGAATTTAAACCCCTTCAATCAGGCAAACCCCCAGAGTTAACTAGAGCAAACAGGCCATTCACAATAGAAAAAATGCATGGTCCTCCAGAAAACAACTAGATAAACATAGCAACCAGGCCATTCACAGTAGAAACAATGTCTGGTCCTTCAGAAAACAGCCAAATAAACATAGCCCTGAGCCATTCACAGTAGAAACAATGCGCAGGCTTTGGTTGACCCTTCCAAACGCATGCAAAAACTGCCTTCCTCCCACCTTCCCCCAGTTTATCCTTTCGTCTGCTTTCAACCAAAACAAAGAAGAAACTTAGGCTTCACTCTCACATGTTTCTTCCATTCAGTCTGATTGGGTCCTGAAGAGAAAGCAAAAACCATAGGGACAACCTCATGCATACAACAATCATACTGCAGGGGGATAAACAAACATGGGTGGTAGTAGTATATACAGATGGAAGTGGTTTACCTGACGATTCCCTGCCTCTAGAACTTCTCCTGAGTCCCGGCAGAGCTCCCGCAATCGGTGGGTGGACTCCCCACAGAGTCTTGACACGGACCTACAGGTTGCAATCCCGCCTGCCGCCTTCCTCTTAGAACCAGGACCAGACTTAGAGTAAGAAGGGCAGAAATAGATGGTTTGAGACTCGCAGATACAAGAAGGGTGCGCTCAAACTCGCGCGAGAGGGCCTTGTTATCTCAATCCGCCTGAGGGCCCCGTAATGGTAGACTCCGTAACAGCTTGGTAAACCTGACGCCACACTGCTGGAACAGACCCTCCCGGCGGACTCCCAAATTGCAGCAATAAGCCCCCTTCACAAGCACAACTATCTCACTCTGTCAAGCTCGGATTCGAGAGCGTATCGGTCACACACCAGCGTGCACTCTCATGGTTGGCCTGCTGCCGCTCATTCAGCGTGTTGGGCACAATCTCGCAGTGTACAGTGACCACGGGCCGTTACTACAGCAGATCACCACTGGCTGCAGCTGCCACGATGCCATTCAGCCAAAGCACAACAGCTAACGATTCCTGTAAAGAAGCATAGTGTGGTGCTGTGGCCAGCTCAGCAGAAATCTGGCGGCACACCATCCGCAATACTGCGTAATAGGCAAGTAGCACCTCAACCTGCAACAGACCGTAATAATACTGCCAAGATTTCCCCCCCCCAGCACCGCAGAACCCGTCAGACGCCATGTGCACAACACAAAGTACACACCAAAAGTAAGTGCCGCTTCGAGCGTTCTGCAGTACCGTTGCCCTCAGCAGCAGCATGCCGACACTAGTATGACCTTCATATACAAGTGCACGATCGCAGTGCTGCCGATG